ATATATATATATATATCTCTTTCTCTCTCTCTCTCTCTTTGTGCGTATTTGTCCATGCAACTATATAGTAGCAGAGGATGGGCAGGTGTGTTGCAGGCAGAGTTTACAGCATTGCAGGGCTTTGCAGCCTTAAGGTCTGCGAGTTAGCAAATTCCTGGGCACAGACCGGCGCATGGTATTAGTATGAGGTTTGGGCTTCTTTGTGTATATCGGGCTTAAGGCTTCTAGTTAGGGTAAGGGCTCGGGCTCTAGGGTTTGGTGTTAAGCTTCGGGTATCTTCGCGTCCTGATAGCGCTGCAGCATGAAGAGGTAGGCTATGGCCAGCGCTAGCACCACCAGGACGCACACCATCATGACAACGCCCAAGATGGTATATACCCATGAGAGCTCATCCAATGACTCCTGCAACTGGTGCACACGCACAGGTATGAGTCCGTGTCTTTTGGCATTGCTTCCCTGTCTATGATTCAGACCTCCGACCGCCCCGCCTTTGCTCGCATGTGCATATGGTCTCCTGCTACTCTTACATGTATATCCCCACTGGTGTAGTAAGCCAAATCACCGACAGCTGAGCACACACGTAAGCCCAATTGTTCCTGAAGTCGTTCCGAAAAATGTCCTGCATAGCCGGGTCGAGCTCACCGCAGCTTTCTTCCCAAAGTATGTCTACGGAATTAGCGTTACAACTGCTACGGTCACCGAGATTGCAGCCGCAACACAACAACTGAGGTGCCCCCCACTACAACATGGCCCACAAAATGTACGAAGTAGCCAATCAAGGGCCACACAGGGTTTGCACCGTTCAGGGGGAGTGTGAAAATGCATGTGGCCACCAACACAGCCAGAATAAGTCCCGCGGCCACGGAGCATGAGCATCGCGTTCTCGCAATCAGGACACTACACTGTCCTCTTGCGGGCTGCACTGTTCTACGAGCCTTGAAAGGAGCAAACAAGTTCTCATTGACACGGTTGCTGAAAGTGCAACCTTCCGTGGCTTTAAGAAATAAAACGACCTGCGAAAGCAGAGGGTCCTTCGTAGTTCGTCCGACCTTCCGCACCTCCACCTGGGCGGTTCTCTAAATTAAGGGTCCCTAATACTAGGTGCCCAATATAGTATTGCTCCCTCATGAAAAGGGCCCTGAATAAAAGGCATCCTAATTTAGAGAATTACCCACCTCTAAGAACGCAAACTCTCCCTTGGTGTCTACAGCGGCTTCGGCCACCGAGATGGAGATTTGTGTAACCTGGGCAGGGGATGGGTCAGCCTATGGTTTAGGCTCTCGGCTGGTAAGTTTATTAAGGTTTACTTAGGGGTTTCTAGAGTCTCGGCTTTAGGGTTTAGGGTTAGGGGTTTGGGGTTTAGGTTACAGGAAGTGCTAGTGTCGCCGCCGCAATGCCGGATGTTGGCCTTTCTTCGATATGCGTCTGAAGACCGATCTTGCACGATGGCATGAGTCGAAACGTAGAGGCTAGTTAGTATTGAGAAAGGATGTTTGGTAGAAGGGTGGCACCGAGTTCCGTTGCTGGATTGCCCTTCCACGTCTTGCAGCGCATGACCGAGGATCTCGGACCCTTCTGAAGTGGCCTCAATCATCAGAATAGGGGTTTGGTCTCCTGTACAGTATATGTAGGGTAAGGAACCCTATAAGGAATAAGATTGGCAACATTTCAGGCCGATTTAGGCTTCTATGTTGGGGCAGCATAAACAAAGGCCAGGTTAGCAAGAATAACAGAAACCGATCGCATAGACGGAGAAACCTCGGGAATAAGACGAGAACCCATGAGCATAAGAAAACAAGCGTGTCGGCGACGGGATGGAGGCATGGAGGTCGATGGGAGCATGGAGGTGGGCAGCATAAACTTACAAACCTTGAACAGACAAATTAAAAACCCAGCCCTTCTATATTACACCAAAACCTGAAAAATATCTCTAGACCAGCCCTGAAGCTCATGCTAGAGGCCTCCGGTTCAACCTTGCAGGGTGCGTTCCGGCCCGGGACACTGAATCTAGCTGTCTGGTTCCCGGGACTCTAATGTAGGGGCCTTAACAATTACAATAATGTGTTGGGTCCATAATACTAGAAATATCATAAGGCATAAGGAACCCCAAAATAGTATAGGTGATTATTTAGGCCCCTATATCCGATGTTCATCACCAGTGTCATCTTCATCACCAGTAGAAGCAGCATCAAGGTCGTCATCCTAATCACCACGGCCACGGTCGCTTTCATCGCCACCATAATCAGCATCATAATCGTGCTCAACATGTCTACTCTACTTTGCGTTTCGCAGCCACCCACACCAATGCTAGCGTCCTCGGATTCAAACATACACAAGGTTTTCACACTGCAGAGAGTGGCCGGAACATCAGACATGTGCAACAAAACAACCCATTGCTTATGAGCAATGCCTGGTGACCGTTCCGCCCTTCAGGCTGTGGAGCTTCTCACTCAGCATCCGGGTAATGTGGTTGATATTGGTAAAGAGGAGCTTGGACGCGGACTGCGTCGAAGATGTCAGCTCGTTGAAACCCTTCACCACCCCGGCATCGACCAGTTGGCTCATTTCGGGCATGGCTTCATCGTGAAGCAAGCTGAAGGGGTCATGAGTTTTCATCAGTGAGTCCACCTTTGCTTGGGCATTTGGGCTCATCGTCTTGGCGACAAGCTCCGACACATTACCGGTAAAGGTCTCACACATGTCGTCCATGCGCCGCAGCATCTGTAGGGCAGACTGCATCTGCTGCGTAATCCTCCGGGCTGCGGGCTCATCAATACCCGAACTAAACCAAATTCCAGAGGTCAGAGGCGGTTTATTCTGCTCATGCTCGCTCAAGGCTTGGGCTCAACCGCCCCCCAAGGAAGATCTTCCGAAACATGGCTCATTGATCAGGCTTGGCTACTATTCTAGGACGTAGCTTCTGATTAACGGCAAAAGACAGCTTTACGTTCTTCGGACACTAGGGCAGACCATCGCAAATCAGTCTTTGCATGCCTTCGTGCATCGTAAGCTCTCGGAGCTAAGAGATGTAAGATCCCACAGCCATGCGGGACCCATTAATTTGGGAGTTTCCGGAAACAGAGGGTGCCTTAATTTGGGGTCCTTATAATAAGGATCCTACTATTTAGGGTACTGTATTAGGGTCCCCTATTTTCGGAAAGTTTCATTTATCACCCCGACCAGAAGTCGGCCCAGGCACAAACACAGAAAATCAGGTTTAGCGTTTCGGGTTCCATGCTTTGGGGCTGGGGAACCCTAAACCCTAAACCCTAAGGGCCCAAGTACCTAAAGCCTCTGGGGTTCTATGCTTTGGGGCTGCGGCTGGGGGTTTCGAACTCTAGCTTGTGGCTTCGAGGTCTCGGGTCCCTTCCAGCCGATCCGTCGCATTGGTGAGCCGGTATACTGCCTTGGCAACGGGGCGTCTTCTAAGTTCGGATTCCATGCCTTTTTGTTACCCTAAACCCTAAACCCTAAACCCTGAACCCTGAACCCTGAACCCTGAACCCTGAACCCTGAACCCTAAACCCTAAACCCTGAACCCTGAACCCTGAACCCTGAACCCTAAGTTTGGATTCAATGCCTTTTTGTTCAGGGGGGGAGGTTCCGGAAAAGGGGGGAGATCCTCGGCTGGACTTGCGGCTGCCCTTAAGAGACCGAAACCCGGCTTCGACAGGTCTCGACTTCGGAGCGGCTCCGCACGGTTTAGGGTTTAGGATTTGGGGGTTTAGGGTTGGGGGTTGGGGGTTTAGGCCTGTTTAGGGGTTTAGGGTTTAG